CAGGCCGAGGAAAAGTTTCTCGAGTAAGTAGTTTGCTGTTCACGAACTCATATATAAACATTTTCATGAGTAGCAGAATTTGCACTGTTGATGTAGGATATAACATTACAATTAAGATAGTGATCGTATAGCTCGCGCTGCTGTTTTTCTGATTTTTTTTTAGTTAGTCCGCTATTTTATGGTAGTTTTGAATGACTTCACTGCAGCAAACTTTGCACCACATTTTGTATTTCACATTCCTCCTTGTTTTATCTCGGCTTTTAATGCATCAAGTTTCGCTTTCAAATACAATCCCTCTTTTGTTTTATTTTATTAGTGTGGACTGGAAGGTGAGCGACAGAAACTAAACTGCCCCATTTTCATTGTCTCGTTTCAGGCGTAATAAAGTTATGAATCAGTTCGCACTGAAAGCGCAGATTCTGAGTCAGCTAAAAACTGGAGAAGAGGACGGTGAACAGTTGGAAAAGCCGACCCGTTCTCTGGTGCGTGGCTCTTGTATAATTTTCAATTGTTTTGAGCTAGCTTAGAAATGGTGTACTGGTAATTCTAGAAAATCAAAGACGGCTACAGTTCTGATGATTCGGATGGTGAAGAAGATGATCGGAATGAGGAGGGAGAACCAAAGAAAAAAGAAACTACTTCCAAGAAGAAGAAAAATCACGAAAAGCCGAAGAAGGATAAACGTCAACGGGTAGAGAATGGTGACGAGGTGGCAAGTGAGTGGTTTTGAAAAAGCAGAGGGAAAGGATTAAGAAAGTGTAACATTCAGAGTATGAATCGTCCGATGGTGAAGATGAAGGAAGGGAATATGACTACATGTCGGATAGCGGTTCTGATTCAGAGTGGGTTCAATTTCAACCTTTGGCAGTTGTAGCTAGTTGCTCCTTTTTGGCAGGCTCTTCAAGACTCTTCCGTCTTTTTTTTAAAACCATTTTCGAAAACTTTCATTCTTTTATTCATTTTCTTGTGTGTAAGTAGATTGTACAACATTTTTCACTTCACTCTCAATCTTCCTTTTTTCTTCTATTTTTCCTTCCATCTTTCATCATCTTCCCATTTCATAAACCGGATCTGCCCTGCCTAAACTTGAAACCACTCAGTGAAAGGCATTGCCATACACTGGTTGTAGTATCCATTTTGTCGTTGTTGAGGCATTGGCAGAGTATTCAATACATCGTATTTTCCGTATTTTTCTTTTTTGACCTCCGGTCTATTGGCAAGTTTCTTATTTGCTGCACTCCAAAAGCTTGATTACCGCTCTAATCGTTGTTAGTGACCCTGCACTTCTTTTTCTTGTTTCTTCTTTGAACGTTCTTCATTGAAATCTCAATGTCACTCCGACTTTCCGATTCGACTACGATTTCCGACTTCCTTAGTGGCGCATATTCAGTATTGAATTTTCAAATGTTCCTATCAATTCCTACATCTGCTCAGCTTTTATTTAGGAGGTGAGTATGTGGGATGGTAGTGGAGTGTGACAGATAGAGATTTATTTCTGTGGTAGAATTTCTCTCACAATTATTAACAAGTAGGTGAGAAAGTGATCAAGCTAGACAGAAAATTCGTCCTTCCTATAAAATTATCAATTCATTTCAAGTAACCTAGAAAGCTATCATCACTACCCGTCTAGCGCTTGTGCTGCAGGCAGCGTATGCCAATTGATGAATAGAGCATGTAAAAGAACTAGTCATTTGTTGATCATAAGGATTTCTAGACGTTGCCTTTCTGAGTTCGACTTTCTCGGCTCATGTTCTCTTAAGTTGGTTTTGTCAGTGAGATGCTTCTTATCGCCGTAATACTCACACTGGAAGTTGCCCGTAGCGCTGATGATTTTCCCTGAAATGGGCCACATTGGTGTATGGTATTTGAACACTGGTTATTGGTTACTCGTTGTCTACACCTCTCTTCGGTTTCTTAATCGCCTAGTTTTTCACAAGTTGCCAAAGTCTAAATGATCTGATACAGTCGTACTCAGCAAACCAATTACAGTAGACATTCAAAGGAAGTGTCACCCAATAATGAGAAACGCTTCCAAATTAAATGTGAAATTGTGATATTGATAGGATACTTACCTATAGTACATTGACCGGGGTAATTCCATGACCCGCAAAGCGCCACGTGACAAGCTGCTATTGGACTGCCGTGAGAAATGAACAATATGTTACCTAAACACGGTATCTTTTACTTCCTTGGAAATCCATAAGTTCCTGATTGCAAGCACATCGTTTTGTCCATATAGTAAACCTTCTCTAGAAAAAAGCCTTGTTCAAAGGCAGATGTACGATAAATGACGCGTTGTTGGCGGCGCGCGTGAGAACATGGAAATTAGAACTGCGAAGGCGGCGTCGAAGAAAAAACTAAACGTAACTGCCTAAAACTCGCAAGGCCCGACTGTTTCTCCGCGTTTTGCCGTTCCATTGGCTGATCGCTCATCCATGCTTACCTTTCAACATTAAGGCTCTATTTTGCTTCTTTGCTGAAATGGCTAGAGTCTGACGGTGAGAGGACAGCCATATTTCGTGAGTGTGAACAGCCGCGAGAAGACTTTCCGGTCTTGGATGAAACCTGGTTTGCTTTTCTTAGACCTACTACGTATTGCATGAAGCCTTTTGGGCGCAAGCACACCGTTGTCACGGTTTTCTTAGGTTATCCTGCCTCCCTTCATGCGTAGGTAAGATTTCCCTTTTTGTAAAACTACAATTTTGTCAGCATACACCTTGTCAAGCACAATTTTGGAATAAGATGCCAAAATTGATTGAGTGCTCTTTATAAGTTCCTCTTGCTGTTCAAAAGTTGCTTTGATTCATCATTTGCGTTGTATTGTGTGTCTTTTAATGGCTTCTGCCACACACTTGTTGGGGAATAGCACTCATTATAGTCCGCGTTTCGATCTGAGCTTATCTAAAAAGTTCTGTAATTCCTTGCGCTTCCTGATTGGTGTACGTTCACACACGAAATGCCACAGAAGGGACAGTTAGAATTTTGATGAGAATGTGAGTCAATTCTGAGGCAATGTCCAAGCCTTAGGGGTGAAAATCGACGTGAAGGTCGAAACCTCGGCCCAATAAAGTTTTCCCACATCACAAACTTTGTGGCAGAAGGACAAAGCACACAACAACAATGAACCACGCCAAGGTTTCAAGATTAGAGAACTTTTAGTCCAATTTTCCTTTATTTTTGCATCTATACTTGGCTGTCATGGCTGCTTCTAAGGCGCGTGCGGTTGCGAAGCAACATTGACGGAAAACAACTTTAACTTCCGTGACTTTTACTTAGTTGTATCTAAAACTTCAAATGAGTGGCTGGGTAAAGAACGAATGCTTTAGCAGTGCGAGACCCTTTTGCGCCCAACGGTATTCGGTAGGTCTTTTACACTTACCCGTGGGATATTTTGCCAAGATGTTCCGTAATGTTACAGTAACCCTTGGAATACAACCCGCATCTCCGCCATGCTCCGGTGGCAGTGTTGTATAAACTGGTTCATAGGTATCGTTGACGTCCGGATTTATCCGCCTGAAAAGATTTTGCTTCTCAAATCTTTTTCCGAACACTTATTTCCGTAAGCAAAGGTACGCTGATTGTTATGCTCTAGTTATTATGGATCTATCCGGTAAAATCTCACCGTTGATTCCGACGAGAATTAATGACAACTACTTTGACTTCTACCCCACCATGATACTATTGCAGTGGGCAGCCGCTTTTTACCCAATCGATCACAATTCCGCTCGCCCTAGGCGGCCCTTCCGATGCGCGATAAATTGCTGTGATTCGGCCTTCCCCAAGATCTACATATACAAGCGTCGTCACCTGGTGAAACAATTATATCTCAAAAAAACCTGACACCATATGTTCGGCTTCTGGTATTTGGGATATTTAACGCAATGTCTAGTTTTTCGCTTACCTTCAGTGAACAATGCAGATTCACCATTGCGCCATTTGGGCGAGGATTTGCAGACTTTTTTTTTGTGGGGGGGGGGCGCGGGGGAGGGGAAGGCGGAGCTGATTGTCGATTTTGCAGGCAGAACTTCTTCGAAACATGGCCCAGTGTGAAAAGCCATCGCGGCGATATATAGTTAAAAAAGTCAGTCTAGGCGCTCGTTGATTTTATAGTTATTACGTTGATCAGGGCTAACACACGTAACTCTAATTGTTCTTCTAGGTCGAAGAACATCAAATTTCTCAAGAATTAGTGGAAGGTCCAATAAGTAGCCAAGTTAAATGTTCAAACCCTGTCCCTAACTCACTTTATCTGTTCATAGTTGGTCTGGCAGGTGGTGACAATACAGACTTCAATGCCTAGGTTCAATCAAGGCGTGTGGGTTTTGCCGTTGTGAGAGGATTTCAGTAGCCGTCTCGATACACCGGGTGAACGGCGAGCAGATCACATAGTCAATAGGTTCGTTCTGAAGTGCAACGCCGACTTCGCGAGCTTGTTGATGTCCCCGAGCGCTGGAAACTTAACGTGTTTACTTTTTTGTACAAATAAAATAGTTAGGTTTGAGTAAAAACATAGAACTTATGGTTAGAATTTTTTGGGCGGAATAATCAAATAATTAGTTCGACTTTCGTTTCTGCACGGTGCCCTTAGACGGAAGCCAAACCTGGAAAAAAAATACCCTCCCTCCGTGTTCTTCCCGTAGGAAGGGAGGAAAAGCGCCTGGATGAGCGTTAAATTGTCCAAATTCGTTAGTTTACAAGCGGCTAGTTGGACTATTTTAATTGCTGGAGAGTTGTAGGTGATGTTCTAGTAATAAGCAGGTTTGGATGTGAAACTGACTCAAATAACTTGCTTCGAAAACCGTAAAAACAAGTGGATTAGTACCTTAGAGGTGGATCATCCCATCGTTCGGCAGTCTTTTTCCAAGCCTTGTCGACGTTATCCACTCGCTCGCCGTGCCGCACGAACCACAGGATCCGACTCGGGGTTTTCCATACTGAACATTCCGACAACTTGCTTCTGTGTTTTTCTGCAGCAGAAGGTTCAACAGCGAATTCGAGAAGTACAGTAATGAAATGGCTTAGCCCTGGCCGACCTGCGTGGGTGTGGTAATCTTCAGTCTTCGTCACTTAATGAAGGTCTTCACAAGATTAAATGAAGTCATGGATGGAAGGCAGAGTCAACTGTTTATTGCAGAAACAGCGGAAAGAAGAAAGCGGAAGAAAGGGTCCTATTTGGCAAAATGGTATCCACATTTCCAAAGGTATGGGGAAGGGAAAAGGAAAGTGAGAGAAATTTTTGCAACAGTTTTAGAAACTTGGAGCTTTTCTGCAATTTTTCCTGAAAATTCTGAATTTTAAGTCGGCGCAAAGTGACGTGATCCCTGAGTGCCAGCCGTCTAAGAACGATCAGAACGTGATTAGAATTGCGCTGTTTGGAAATGCGATCAAACCGGTACTTTTTGCGGAACAGGTTCTGGTGTATGAATAAATGTTCATTAGTGAGAGCGCATTTGAGAAGTACTTTCGCGTTTCCCGTATATATTGTTTTTTGTAGTCCAGGATGTGTCTCTCGTGAAGATATGAGATCTGTGGCTTCAGATAATGTTTACCAATTCTATTTCATTTCGGCGCTATCGCAAAATACAGGGGCATCTTCAGGACTTCTCCTAGATCAGGAATATCGAAGAAAATAAGAATGCGCTTCACGCGCATCCCAGCTCCCACTTCCTCCCCCCCCGTATAAAATATTATTAGTCTTTTCAGAAGGAGATATTTCACACGATTTTAAACGCTCTGCCACTATTATGCCCCGCATCTTGCGATAGCGTCTTCATTCTATAGGCTTCAGCCATTGATAACAATATTTGTCAGTACTGCGCAAGTACATCATTTCGAGCTGCTATCCCAGTCTGTAAACCGAGACAGTACTGCTTGGAAGGATTTAAAACTAGCGATGCTCGGGTGGACAAACGCTTCTCTCATACAGGAAAAGCATGAATATTAATTAATAAATGTGACAGAGTGGTTAGGAAAGGTCATCAATATTTTTCAGTGTTTCGTAAATCGGAACCGTCTGATTTAGAAATTCCTAGCATCTTCTCTATTTTCACTCTCGGCTCCTTGGTTGACTCATCAATGTAACCAAATTCCTAAGGCCGATGTCAGACTTTGCGAATCGCGCGATTCGCTAGCGTCCGCGGTCGCGTTGCGGTACCAGCCAATTGAGTGATTCACTGGCCGCGACGCGACCGCAGACGCTAGCGAATCGCGCGATTCGCAAAGTCTGACATCGGCCTAAAGAGACGAAAGAGATGGATGGACTGAACGTTGGCTGACTTTTCACTTCATTATTGCATGGGTCAGAATACGTATTTAGCTGTCTTTTGATTTGCAATTCTATTAAAACTTTGTAAACTCACCCAATTTTGAGGAGTCTCGATTAGACTTTTCATTATTCCCTGTACCTCTATAAATTCTTAAGTTATTTATGCTGCATGGGGCAGAACACGTCATTCTCTCAGTTTTGAACGAGTAGAAAATTAGAAAGCGAAATGAACCATGTATGGAGGTTATTATGACAAATTAGGATTTTTCGCTCGAAGGGATGAATTTTGCCTATTACAAATATTTTATGGCGATTTTCATCCAAATATCATCTCGATGAGTGATTTAATCTGTTTTGAAATTATAATTAATAACGAGGGAACTCGTTTCAATTTTCATAGCTAAAAAGCGTATCGATGGAAGAAATTCGTAACAGGGAGTTAAATTCATGTCATGAATTTTGATATACTTCAGTCACACCATTAATTTTAATCATTACGTATTGATTTTATTCCCAAGGATTTTGAAAATTCTTACTTATCTTTCTTTTTCGGGCGGCGCCATCTCCCTCTATCTTCATGCAGTTAGTCTCTTCAATATGATGAACAAGAATCTCCCCACAGGAGTCGACCCAGGCAAGCCCCTTTTTTTTTTTTTTTGTTTTTTTTTTTTTGTTTTTTTTTTGCTTGATCTTTATCGAGCCCCTTTGAAATGCGCCATGCATTTGGTTTGCGTTCAGAATCGTAGGGCACTTGATTTCGATTTGTATGCTTCAGCGGCCTATCAGCACAACTGCATAAGTCAACGTTTTTCTTCTCTCAGACAGGTTTGCTACCAACTATGAAGAGTGGGATGACAGCGTTATCTTGGGCTTGCTTCAATCTTCTTGTGCGACAGTGACTCCACATGTCACTCTTTAATATCAGAAAATGAATGAGAAAAAGTAATATTTCCATTCGCAATTTTTGTACGGGTCTTTTTCGAAGTGATAGTGATTTTAATTGAAGTAAAAACGGAAAGTCTAAGTGGTAAAGCTAAAGGTTTTTCTCCTCTTAGAGAAGCTATGAAGCTTCTTCATTTTGATGGAATAGTTGGGCAGGCAAACCACAATCGGATAAAAAATATGAAAACTTTGTTATGAAAATTTGAAAAGTTTTTGCTACAAGACATGTCAAAAGTGTAAGTACTGTAATCTGAAAAAAGTGTATGGATTAATTTGTCAATTTCTCTACGTGCATAAATGACATCAGAATCGAGCCGCAGTGTTGCTATGAGAAGTTCGTGCTGCGTTGCTGAAAAACAATCTCGAAACGTCATTGAATGGTCTATTGCCGAGGCAAATTAATTTTTCAAAGATTGTCTGTCAATAAGTGAATAATTGATTAATGATGGAGATAAAACGAAAGAAAATATGAAAATGCAGTAAATAAAGGTAGCTCTTGCCACAGATGCGGTGGCCTGAGAATGAAGGGAGTGAGAGACGTCTGACGGTTTTTGGACCTTGGAAAAGGGCATGTTTTCATGGCTGGAGCAGTTATTGATTGAAGTTGTCTGACTGCTCGAAGGACATTAGGAGGACTTTGCGCTGTCTTCTCGCTTCTGCTGCCCATCGTTGCTGACAAGCTCTCAGAATGAGAGTTCAATCAGGGTTTCGTAGGGTGGCTTTGCACTCCTATGCCAAGAGAAGAAATACGTGTAATGTAAATGTTCGACCCTACGAATAATTCTATGCAGCTTTCCATGTCCTGAATTAGCTTACTCCAATCGAAGACGAAGTCAGATGAAGAGGAAAATGAAGGAAAAGAAACCTTCGAAGATACTGAGAATAAGAGATTATTTCCCCATATTTAGTGGATGGGTGGGCGAGCAGTCAGACTGACTCTAAGAATGTGAGACTGTGCGAAAAAGGAGAGAACAGAATTAGAGACGGGTGAGTATAGCAGACAAATGAGACGCAGACGCAACTCTGTTTGTCGACTGTCTGCTATGGGTAGCGAGGAACAGCTCAGGCTTATTTCGGCTCTACTGACGAAGTCCTAGTGCCCTTATTGCGCACTTTCCACCCGCAGGCGAGAATCGCACGTCTGTTTTGTGGCTATATCCTATTCACGGAAACTATTGATCCATTCGCGGGGCTATATCGTGGACATGTGCGCGACAAAGCCCAAGCTTGTGAAGTATTGCCTAATCTCTCGCTTAATTGGCAAGGACTGCAAACGTAGGGCTTAAACGACACAACTGGCTGCTGTGGTCCCTTTTTGCAACTAGTAAAATGGGGTAAAAAACCTCAGGTACAGAATATTTTTATTTCCCCGAAATATTTTTAAGCTTTGTTTATTTTTCGTCTAGAGGACGCGTTACAGCAGTAAATAGCAAATCTGCGACAGTATGAATCTAAGGTTAGACAAAAATGAAAAAAAAACAGAACAAACAAAAACATAAATAAAACCTACAAAGTAGGAAAAGCTAAGCGAGGAATCAGCTAGGCGAAAGCAAGAGCAAGAAGAGTAGGTAGCGAATCTGAAGGGAATCTGAGGCAAACAAAAAATGATAATCGATCGATTATTTCCTCAGAAATGTCTGGAACCTTCAAAAGTGAAACCTTCTTCCGAAGGTATTTTAAGGTAGTTTCCCCCGCGTGAGAACGTGGGTTTGAGGTCAGAGTAGGAAGTCCAAATAAGAAAATATTGTTGTCTAACAGGAGTGTTAGGAAACTATGAACCAAATGAGAAGATAACCGACGACAATATGACAGCTGTCCCACGTGAAAACACATGACGATCGCCAGACGTCATTGCGAGACTTATTGTGACGTAGAGTACTTTGGCTGGGCAAAAAATGAGTGAAGTGCAACTTCTTCAGTCTTATAAAAGTTGCTCCCGAACGTTTTGGAGATATCGCAGAGAATGAGCAGAGTGGAAGGGAAGCTGTATTTACTGAGTATCAACAAATCTTGTGGGGCTGCCGAAAGCTGCGACAGTGATTGCAAACAGATGGCGTTGCGATAAAAGACCAACTAATCGGATGAGAGCGATCTTTAAAGAAGGAAATGGCTGCAAGTTTGTAGGCGTACTAGCGCTTATGCGTGGGTGGAAGGGGCGTGGTCTTGAGGGATATGGTTTTCAGGTGAAGTGTGAGACATGTTTACCGTTTTCTGGAGGTGAATAAGGGGATGTTTTGCTCATTAGTTTTGTTTTATTCCATTCCCTTTCATACACCTAAGAGGTTAGTGGAATGATTTTGCAAACTCAGAGATTTGCGTATAACTTGATTTCCAATTTGACTTCATCTGACTAGAAATATTACAATTTTTGAATCTTCTGCAAACTTGGGGCGAATCGTAGTCCTCTGCCCCACACATGCTCACGGCCTAGAAAGGTTTTCTCCTCAGACCAGAGACTGAAGACTTCTGCCAAATAATCGCAGAGGCATTTGGTGGACGCTGCGCTTTGTTTGGCCACTACAGCGAACTCTTCATATTTTGCAGGAGGCGCCGAAGGAGTCCTACGGGTTCGTCGATAGCTCAACTTTGATTTCGCTCTTCACGCCTCCGAACCGCGACGGCTGCCCTCTCCTTACTTGCGAAATTGGAAATTAGCTGTGGGGTACAAAACTATCGCTGCACCGCGTCGCTCTCCATCTCCAGGCGATATTTCATTTTCTCACAAAAACTATCACAAAAACTCTTCCACATGCAGCTAAACAATACTGCCATACAACGACTGAGAACTAACTACGAAACAGTACATCACCAATAACGAAAGTCGAGTCAAAGAGCGTAGCTTGATTTGTTGATGGAAACCAATTATTTTTGACAAAAAATTCGCAGCATACGTGGATATGAGCAGCTGACATGCAGAGTGCTGACAAGGCTATGAGGTTCTTTGGAAAGGTCGGTGGCTCTTACAAGTGGGTGGGCACGTCCAGCTTTTACCGCATGGGGCAAGTGACGCCCCCCTCCCTACACCCCCACCCTACATAGATTCGGGATCACACTCCCCTGGCTCACGGCATTCTCGATTCCGTCGTGACACGTATATCGCGCGGCAGCGCAGGCCTCACTTACATAGCTACATATTCTGTGCAGAAAAAACTGCGGCGTGTTACCCACCGTACTTGTATAGACCACTGGTCTATAGTTATTCCTTTGGAAATTTAGAGAATAATCTTACAGAAATAATATGTTGAAGAAAAATATCCAGCTCAAACCTCCGATTGAAGCACCCTTTGATTTCAGTGAACTGCTTACGGGGTCATAGCCGGCGGCGGACCCCTTAATGCAGCGTAACGAACGAACAACCAAGGTGATCAATCAATCTTTTAATGGAAGGTTGACTAAGGCGTTCAAGAAAGATTGAAACCTTCGTAACGGCGCGATCATTGGAACAGTTTGAAGTGCCGAAGTCACGTACACAAGAACATGTTTTTAGAAAGAGTTGTTATCATTGATCACAGAGAACGAGCTTTTGTGTCTCGCCACAAAGAATGATGAACAAAATCGATTACGAACAAGAGCAAAAAATGAAAGGAAGAAGAAGTGGGAGAGATGGCACTCGTCGTTGCAGTGAACGCTGTGAAAAAGTGATTTTTAATGGGAAAATTCATAGCAATTGAAATGAATGACGATCGACTGATGACGATGTGGTGGGTGTACTTGTGCATGCCTTCGAAACTCACGCGGTCCTGTCTCGTGATTTTCGTTATCGCACGTCAGAGCAAGGTCCTTGGTCGATATTGATCGGTGATAAATGGATTTATGATCAGTGGATCTCTGATCAGAGTCTTCATTAGCCACGAGGACAACGATGTCAAGGACATAACGCATCTTGTTTTTGAATCGTGGGGATAGCAAGAGAGTCATCCTTATTCGCTTTAACTCGTCTCTCTCTCTGAGATACGCACACATGTTGATATCTAATCACTTCAATTTAGAGGCACATGAGCTTCTTCCCAGAATGGCGGTGCTATACAAGTAGGGTGGGCACGCCGCATTTTTTGAACAGAAATGTATGTAAGTGGGACTGCTGCCCGCTACTATACTGTCACGAGAATCGGGGAATTCGTGAGCCAGGGGGTGTAGCCAATCTAGGGGGTGGGGGTGAGGGCAGTCACTTGACATGCGTGAAAAGCTGGGCGTGCCCACCCCACTTGTATAGAGCCTGCAATCAGTTGTGGCCCCAGTTGATCTTCAAGTCAATACCTTTCAGTATGGAGCTCACCGGTCCTGTACTCCACGCAGAAACACTTAGAACCAACAAAGCTTGGAATACGGAGGAATGCTTTGATTGATGGTTCAGGATTCGATCCAGAGGGCCGTGGGATTGCGCCATGGCTCACCGAGCCTTCGAATTTTAAGTGCTCTAGAAGTTGAAGGATGTGAATGAAGGAATAAGGTGATCGACATTGACCAACTGCTTTGGGAGAGTTCACATGTTCGATTCGAGTGGAAGAAGTATAGGGCGCCTTTTTAATGCTATTATAGTATTATCAGGTTATTCAGACAAAGTCAGCCATTGCTTAGTATTCACTTCAGCATTTTTATCCGTACCTTTATCTTCTACTCTCATGAAGGTAGAAGCA